ATACTTCTCAAAACTTTATGCTAATAAGTTTGAGAACTTGGCAGAAATGGACCTTTTACTAGCAAATATTGACATGCCAAAACTAAACCAAGATGAGTTAAACCATTTTAACAGGCCCATATCAAGCATTGAAATAGAAATAGCAATAAGGGACCTCCCACCTAAGAAAAGCCCAGGACTAGATGGCTTTACAGCAGAATTCTACAAGGCCTTTACACCACAGACCTCACACCACTACTCCTCCAACTCTTCAATGAAATTGAAACAGAAAGTTCACTACCGAACATCATAACCGAAGGCATCATAACCCTCATCCCAAAACGAGGCAGGGACTCATCAAAGAAAGAGAACTATAGACCCATTTCTTTGATGAACATTGCTGCAAAACTTCTCAACAAAATTCTAGCCAATCGACTTCAACAATTCATCCAAAAGAGCATACACCATGATCAAACAGGATTCATTTCAGGGGTGCAAAACTGGTTCAATATACGCAAATCAATTAATATAATTCATCACATCAACAAGAACATGGATAAGAACCACATGATTTTCTCAATAGATGCAGAAAAAGCATTTGACAAGATTCAACACTCCTTTATGATGAAGGTTCTGGAAAAATTAGGAATCCAGGGAACATTCCTCAATACAATAAAGGCTGTATATGACAAACCTACAGCTGATTCAAAACTTTGGCAAAGTAGAATGGTATAAAATTATCATGGTATAAAAAAATCAATGGCTTTTCTGTATGCCAATAATGAGAAAAGTATGGCTGAAATTAGGAAAGCAACTCCATTCGTAATAGCCCCACAAAAAATAAAATACCTAGGAATTAACCAACAAAGTGAAGGACCTCTATGATGAAAACTTTAAAAACTTGAAACAGTAAATCAAAACGGAACTTAGAAAGTGGCAAAAACTCCCATGTTCCTGGGTTGGAAAGATCAACAACCTTAAAATGGCAATACTTCCCAAGGCTATCTACAAATTCAATGCAATACCTTTCAATATTCCATCCTCATTCTTCAAAGAAATAGAAGAGGCAATCCAAAAATTCATATGGAACAATAAAAGACCCCAAATAGCAAAAACAATCCTTAACAGAAAGAACAGTGCTGGAGGAATATCAATACCAAATTTCAAACTCTACTACAAAACCATAGTAATGAAAACAGCTTGGTACTGGCACAAGGAGAGACCTCAGGACCAATGGAATAGAATTGAAAACCCAGAAATGAACCTACAGACCTATAGCCATCTAATCTTCGATAAGTGAGCTAAGAAAATAGAATGGAAGAAAGACAACCTCTTCAGTAAATGGTGCTGGCAAAACTGTTTAAGTTCTTGCAGAAAACTAAAGCTAGATCCTTATATATCTCAACTGAAAAGACTTCACATAGAGCTCCCCTATGACCCAGCAATCCCACTTTTGGGCATTTACCCAAATGATCAAAAACAAGGCTACACTAAAGCTACCATCATGACTATGTTTATTGCAGCATTATTTACCATAGCTAAGATATGGAACCAACCCAGATGCCCCTCAGTAGATGAATGGATCAAGAAAATGTGGT